GAGGCGGCCGGCGTGCGCTCGCTGCTGCCCGGCCGACGACGTAACTCTGTCATGTCGAACAGCCCCTTAACCTCCAGCTCCTCTGCCACTTTCATAATGCGTGGGATGTGCGCTTGAGTCACGTTTACTTCGCCCGTGTACATGTACTCGAGAAGGGCGCGCATCTCGAAGTCCTTGACGCCGGGGAAGAGGATGCTGCAATGGTCCATGGGCACATCAGCCAAAATGGACTGAAAGTACGGGGAGTTGGCTGCAAGCACGACTCGGTGCGCCTTGAAGGTGACCTGATCATCTACGACCAGAGTGCAGTCGACATAAGTCTCGACTTTGATGAGTGCCTCCAGAATCTCCACCAGATTGGTTTTGTGGTGGTTCCACTTCAGGCAGAACGTCTGTTGTCCTTCACTGCTACCCATTTTTCTTAAGTGCGCTTCTGTGAACAATAAATTAGCGTTACTTATTGTAGGCAAAAACAAAGAGAAGGAACCACAACTCAAAATAGAAGCATTAAAACAATGCTAACATCGCAATAATTGATGTTTTTTTGTTCGTTTAGAGAGCGATTGCTTCTATACTGAATGCGTAACTCTCTTTCATACAAATTATTAACCTAAGCTTCAACTAAGTATTAATACAATTAAAACTGTTATATTCAGATAGTGATAGGTAGGTACGCTATGTATTTAATATTTATATTTAAATACACAAAACATATGTTAGATACAAAATGTTAGATACATTAGGGTATTGCATATTCAAATTTAAAAATATATTTTTCTGAAATATTTATTGAATTGCACACAAACGTTTCGGTGAAATAGTCAAAATTTAATTTTAAAAACTTAAAAAGTAAACCACCTGATACACAAATATGCAAAGAAAACAATTGTTATTCTAGCGCCAATAGCTCAATAGCAATAGGTACGAACTACGTCACGAGGTCGTAGGTTCGAGCTATTCATGCGAAAGATTCTGACTAGCCTTAGGCATTAGGATGGTTATTCACTAACCATCCTAATGCCTAAGGCTAGTCAGAATTGTTAAAAGAATTGAATTATTTATAAAATGATCAATACTAAGGTTAATATCAATAGTAAAGCTAAAATCATAACAACAGTACATTTGTGTTAAAATTCGATACGCCAAATAAAATAATCGAAAACAAGTTGTAAGTGTACCTGGTAGGACATCACCAAATGTCGTAGTGCCTGGATACATGTTGCGTGAGTGTGACATGCGAAGCGCAGTGCGTACGAGTCAGAGTGATGTTCCGCGAATGTGCGCCGTGCACCGCGCTACTAAGCCGTGTGTATACACTAAACACGTACGTCGCGGCCCACTGCTGCTGCCCGACTGCACCGCCCTTCCCCATTTACATATTTCGCCTCAAAGCCCTTCCTCACTGCCAAATTGACTTTTTACCTTTTATTCGGCAGGTAAATCGAACATAGGGGACCGATGAAAGCCGCTACGATGCCGTCCCTCTTCCCATATAAACTTGTAAATTCTGCATGAGTAATGCTTTTGCCCTTAATAATACGGAACGAGAAATCGCAAGATAAAACTGACCTTAAAACTTCTGCAACTCCTTTCCACAGAGATGTAAATGACGCAAAAACATCTAAATTAAATTTAATAAAAAGGGGAAAATGAATGATGCTTACCTTAATTTCCAATGAACGATCCAAAAATTCGAGGCAGACGTCGCGAACGCAGGAACGACGTGTGATAATTTTGCATTGGCACTATATGAAAGTTCGTAGCACGATCGGGGGTTAGTTTCGCGAAGGGCTTGCGGCGTGAGCCCTGCGGGGGCGGCGTGCTCTGACGAGCGTCTGACGGTGACTGCTAGTTGCAGGCGGGCGCTCGCGGTCCTCCGCGCGCCGCCCCCGCCTGCGCACCCCCGCCTCCCGCCCCGCATCCCAGCCCTGCGTGCGCTTTTTACGCACGACGCGCGGCCGCGGCCCAGTGCAGTGCAATTGCGTGCGGGGGCCGAGGCGCGGTGCGGGACCGACGAATTGCAGCGCCGCCGCGCCGCCGCGGAGGGCGCGCGCGGGTGTGCGTGAGGCGCGTGTGTCGGCTGCGCGCGCGCACTCACGCACACTAGTGCGTCACGTAAGAGACCGTAGATTAAAGCCGAATTCGGCTCATAAAAAGCCGTAGCCTCGCCCCGGCCCTTTGTATGCTAACGTTGAACTTCGCGTCGTGCCATCGATACCGACTATTTTGTTAGTTTGCGTTGCTAATTATCATAAAAATCAAATTAATATGCCTTCTAGCGGTTACATTAGGTAAATATTTAAGAGTTTCGTAAATTTTTTTGAACTCTACTACGACATCGATGTCATTTGTATAAAATAAAATGATAATTAAAAGAATCGGAAATATTGATATTCATCCTAATACCTTGGATGGCCCTTAAACTATTGAAATATTATAAAAAGTTTAAACCACGAATTCAGCATAACCAACTCACTAAAAACTTAAAATACTAACCAGGTACATTAAACGTTGAATAACACTAATAATACCCATGTAGTTTTATATCTTCGCAAAATAGTTACTTAAAAATAATTTAAACGAAACTAATAAAGAAAATACCTCAACATTTAATTGTGCATAGAACGCCCCAAAACTTTCCCAAAAGTACGTGAACAAACGCCTCGAAACGGGGTCATTGACACATTGCCTGCAGAGGGAACGCCAAAATAGCGCGAAATGCACTCAAAAATAGATCAAGCTGTGTGCAATATTTTTTGTTGAACATGGCCCGGCTTCCGTTGATTCACACACACCATGACTACGAGTAAGAACATAAACTAGGACGACACTTAAAATCCAAACTAAATCAATATTTTTACGTTCACTTGATTATAAAAACAGTCGAAATATAAATAGTTTCTGATACATACATTCTTTTGACGGACTCCAAAACAACAAACTTCAAAAAACATCAGATGAACAGAATCAAATTTATAAGTTTACTCATATTTGCTACTACATTCATATTATTTTCTTAGTAATTTCATGTTAAATATAGTTAACAAATTGTGATTTTTTAATATATTATACGCCAATCTTCATTAGATAAATTAATACATGACATAAAAGTATTGCCACTTTATTAATAAAACTTAAGGGGAATCTACAAGTAACTAAATCGAATTGTTATTTACATTCATCTTCTATTGAAAAGGTTTTACGTTTAGATTGATCCCATCTGAGATTTATTTTTAGTTATTTAATTATAGTTAAATCATTAAGAAAATACTTCATTCAAAATAATTTCTCACGAAGTAATTGAAGTTGGAAATTACGTTGTAAACAATGGCTGTAAAATGCCATGAATGTTATTCGTCACTTGAGCGATGCACATTCTAGTGCTCTCGACGCACTCGTTTGCATATCGATGACGTTCTCATGCCCCTCTTCCCTTCCCACAAATAACTAAATAACATAAACCATATTAAATATTTACGAATTCATTCCGAAGCCTAAAGTTTTTAGGTCAAATAGTTAGTGATAGTTCTATTGATATAAACCTATACAATAGAGCGAGATAAATTATATTTCTATGATACTACGCCACTAGACGTAGTACTTAGAAGGTTAAACTACATCTGTATGCGGTTAGCCGAAGCACAATACATTTAAAACTATAAGACATCGGAAAAATTTCACTAAAACAAAAGTTTGTAATTGCAAATAGTCTCTATTTATCAATTGTAGTATATTTTATCAATCGTTATAACAATCAATCAGCGGTCAACCACACGACCGTTAAAATCGGTCGACTATTTGGTTATTGGCCTCGAAGCATTGATGCAAATGCGCCTTTGTTAAATACAACTAACAGTTATGACCTCCGACATCACTGTATATAAATTACAAATGGTATCGAAATTCGCAGGTTTATTGCCTTTTATCGCCGGGTATAACAAACTCTGACAGTTAAGTACACAGATTTGCAATTCACATTTATTGTAATTTCGGCGACAATTGGTGAACAATGGGTTTAAGCGATGCATAAAGCGTATTATGCTAATACCAGCATAAGCAGCGATGTCGCGACCTATCCCACGGCGCACGCGCAGCAAAAACAGCGAACGAAGCGGGGGTTGAGGGAAAAAAGCTAATAAAAAAGCAATAATGCGATCCCGCATGGTGGCTCGTTGACGATCCGAAATTGACGCGACTGATGAAGCGAAAGCTAGGGACCGACAATGTTCTATGCACAAATTACCCTCTTTTAGATTGTCTGTTAATATACCAACATATAAACCCTTCCTTAATAAATCCAACGACAATTATTGATTCCCTTTTATAAAAGTTTCTTTGTGTTTTGTTGTTATGTGCAATAAAACTTCAGAATACTACAAATTATACAAAGAATCAAAGGTTTTATATCTCATTTAATATTTTATAGTCTGAAAAATCCACCAATGCCGAATAAATTTAAATATTAACTACGATTTTTATGATGTATAATAAGCTCTTTTTGCTATTGCTGTGTGATGTTAAGATGCAGTAATCCATATCACACCAGCGATAAATTGTAACAAATGATATGTAGATCCTAAAACGAAATCAGAATAGAATCTAACATTTTTACGTTCCTGAAAAATTTACTCATTAGTTTCCAGTTACCAAACTGCTTTGTACATAAAATGTCTTAAAATTACTATTGAATAAACACAATGATAATGTAAAACACACTGTTGATAGCATTATATTCACTGCGTATTGTTGGCAATGGCAATTAATACATTAACTTTGCATAATTAGAGAAGGGTTGTTGGCTGGGATAAATAGATAATTATAATTTCACGGCGAGCCACGGCCTCGGCATTTGTCACCAGCATCCTGCCACGCGCCCTCTTTGAATTTATTATATTGTATTATATCTAGGGTGATCAAAACCCTTAATCCCTTATATTAACTGCTGAGCGACAATTAAATGATTCACACAGAGATATAACTCTGCCTTGGCGGATGAAACCTACCATCTCTATTACTCTATTTCAATTATCTTTTATGTTTGTAATTTTTACCTTTCTTTTTTCCTTCATTATATTTAATCCTTTTTGTCGTTTTCCTTTTTAGCATATCATTCAATCCTATGCAAAGGCATATCTTTTAAAACTACTGACCTAATTCTTTCTACTTGAAAACTCTAGACGAGGATTTACATTGTTGCCAAAAATACTAGTTAATTTTAACTATTTGATATTTAATAAAACAAAAGAAGTTAAAAACCTGGATTAGTTTTTAAGAGAAAAAAATTAAAGCTTTAAAGCATGGTGCTTATAGATTACAAAGTCGAGACAAAGATAATTATCTTTTAATGTAACGTCTAGCGTCTAGCGATTCTCTATTATTATTACTAGCTTCAAGTTCACCCTTATAAAAGTTTGAATTAACTAAATACAAGTAAGTGGTGTGTGGGTGATAGCGGCCAGTACGGCGGGAGCGTCCGGATGCGGCTCATTGTAGCGAAACTCCCCGGACACCGCGCTGTGAAACAATGCACTCTTTCCTGCGATTGTCCGATCTGCCAGGAACGACCTTTGTTACTACATACCAACGCCCTTAATTCATTCTTTTATATAGATCAATATAGGGTGAAATTACCTTCATATCTTTTCACATGTGGGTTCTATTATCCTTGATAGAACTGTATTTACTTATGATAAAGAAAACATCGTTAACTGCGCAGAAATTCAAAAATAGATGTTAAGTCAACCAATGCAGCCAGCGTCACTACGCTTCAAGTCAAGTTACTAAGGTCCAATGTGAACTGGTGCCGAGGCCTAAGGGCTGACTCGGGTTAGGTTCGAACTCTTTGATGGGGACGTTATTGAGCTGAAACTATACGCGCGCTAGTAACATCACTAATAATTTTAAATATATTACTTACTTCTAACATTTGTAACGATTGTTTGGAAAAGAATCTGTCTTTAGTAAATAAAATACATTTACAACAAGGTAGCCGAGTGACAGACTAGTCAGCCTCTAAATTTGGAGACCTCGGATTTCTGAACGACGACTTACTGATAACTTTTATCGTAGTTGTAGAATTTCGTCGCGTTGTTAGTCAGCTATTTTAAAGTTAAAACATATTTACTTGTATAATAAACGCGTTTACAAACTTTTTTGCTCGAACATTTTTTTTATTGAAGGTTTTTCAAAAAAATATTTGTAGTAAAAGTGGCATAACA